TGTATTAGGATTTCAGTCTGTTTTATACCTGAATAATATTGCATTGTATGGATATACCAAATTTATTCATCCATTCATCAGTTGATGGGCATTGCATTGGGTCATTTCTACCTTTGACTGTTGTGAATAGTACTACTGTGAACATTTATGTACAAATTTTTGTTTGAACACTTGTTTTCAGTTCTCCTGAGTACATATTCAGGAGTGGAACTGCGGGGTAACATGGTTATTCTATATTTAACTTAAGAACCACCAGACTGTTTTCCATAGCAGCTGTACCATTATGATTCTCATTAGTTATGTGTGAGGGCTTCAATTTCTCCACATCCTTTACTGCACTTGTTATTTTCCATTATTTTGATTATAGCCATGTTAGTGGGTATGAAGTGGTATTTCACTGTGGTTCTTACTCGTATTTCCCTAATGACTAATGATATTGAGCATCTTTTTACGTGCTTGTTGGCAGTATGTATATCTTCTTGAGAGGAAAGCCTATTTAAATCCTTTGTCCTTTGAACACTACTATTGGGACAAAAAAAAAAGTAAATCCTTTGTCCAATTTTTAGTTGGGTTGTCTTTTTGTTGAGTTTTAGGAGTTCTTTATATATTCTCGGTATTAACTTTTATTAGATATGTGGTTTGCAAATATTTTCTCCCATTTTTTTACCTTCTTTTTTCTTTTTTATTCTTCTTTTCCACATGCAGACCTTTTGGTTGATCATTTTACCTTCTTGATAGTGTTCTTTGATGCATAAAAGTTTTTAATATTGATGAATTTCCAATTTATCTTTTGTTGAATGTACTTTTGGTGTCATATCTAAGAAACCATTGCCACATCCAAGGTAATTCTAAGAGTTTTATGGATTTATATCTCATATTTAGGTCTGTCATCTAATTTAAGTTCATTTTTATATATGATGTGAGGAAGGTAGACTAGTCTTTAGAGGAGTTTTATTGAAAAGAGGAGCAGAGAAATAGGGCAATAACTGGTAGAGAACATAGAGTCAAGATAGGTTTTTTATTTTTATTTATTTTTTATAAAGAACAAAAATTTATTTTCTGACAATTCTGCAGGTTGGGAAGTCTAAGGTTAAGATGCCAGCATCTGGCAAGGGCCTTCTTGCTATGTCATCACATGGCAGAAAGCCTCACATGGCAGAAGACTTCATATGGCAGAAGGACAAAGGGAGAGAGACAAAAGGGGACCAAACCCACCCTTTTAAAATGATGTTAATCCCACCTATGAGGGCAGAGCCCTCATGGCCTAATCACCTCTTAAAGGGCGATTAAATTTCAACATAAGCTTTGAAAAGCACAAATATTCAAACCATAGCAGCAGGTGCATGAACCACTTAAGTGGCTCCTCCAGCCCCAGTCAAGCCTTCAGATGATTGCAGCCCTGACCAACTTCTTTTTCTTTTTTTTAAGACAGAGTCTCACTCTGTTGCCCTGGCTAGAGTGCCATGGCAACAGCCCAGCTCACAGTAGCCTCAAACTCCTGGGCTCAAGCGATCCTTCTGTCTCAGCCTTCTGAGTAGCTGGAACTACAGGCATGCACCACCATGCCTGGCTAATTTTTTCTATATATTTTTAGTTGGCCAATTAATTAACTAATTAATTAATTATATATTTTGCCAATTAATTTCTTTGTATTTTTAGTAGAGACAGGGTCTTGCTCTTGGTCAGGCTGGTTTTGAACTCCTGACCTTGAGCGATCTGCCCGCCTTGGCCTCTCATAGTGCTAGAATTACAGTCGTGAGCCACCGCGCCTGGCCCCTGGCCAACTTCTTGACAATCTCATGGAAGATCCTGAGTTAGAAACACCCAGCCAAGCTCCTCCTGACCTGTAGAGACTCTGAAATAGTAAATGTTTATTGTTTTATGCTGCTAAGTTTGGGGGTAATTTCTTAGCAGCAGTAGATAATTGATATACCCTGGATGGCTCAGATCATCCTTTTTTGTTTTATTTTATTTTATTTTTATTTATTTATTTTTTTATTTAAGCATATTATGGGGGTACAAGTGTTAAGGTTACGTATAGATAGGTTTTTTTAAAGAGAGGAGCAATAATGGCATGGGAATGATCAACAGAGAAGGAAAACTGATGATATAGGAGGGAGGTACGAATTGGCTTTGGACAGATATATGAATAGCTCATCTTCAGTAAAAGGAGTGATTAGAGTGTAATGGCACATATGCTGGGAAGGGAGTAGATGTGATGGTGGGTATCTGTGAAGGTTCTAATTGTTTCAGTTTTTTTATTGAAGTGAGAGGTAAAGTCATCAGCCAAGAGTGAGTTGGAGCTGTTCAAGTATGAGGAAAGGAGAAGGTGTGAAATATTTTTCTAAGGAGAGACAGTGTAAACAGATTAGGGAAATATTATATATAGGAATTACAGGGCACTTGAATATCATGATCATGTATTTAAAGTGAGACCAGTTTGGGTAAATGTGTTTCTCCAGAGCAGTTGCTAGCATGATTGGAGTAAGTGTAGGGGGGCGGGGGGTAGAGTTGGGTATTTCTAAGTCTGTGGTTTTGTCTGGTGAAGATAACTTCCTTGCTTAGGGGCTTAAGAGTGAATGCATGGGAGTGATTATAATGATTGAACTTTGAATTTAAGGTGAGTAAAAAGGGAAGAAGCCATGGGGGTGAGAAAAAGTGAAAAGGTTATAGGAGCAATGGATTGAAGTTCTTGGTGGAATCAAAAGATTGTTGGGGTAGGGCGTGGGCGCGGTGGCTCACGCCTGTAATCCTAGCACTCTGGGAGGCCGAGGCGGGTGGATTGCTCTAGGTCAGGAGTTCGAAACCAGCCTGAGGAAGAGCGAGACCCCCGTCTCTACTATAAATAGAAAGAAATTAATTGGCCAACTAATACATATAGAAAAAATTAGCTGGGCATGGTGGCGCATGCCTGTAGTCCCAGCTACTCGGGAGGCTGAGGCAGAAGGATTGCTTGAGCCCAGGAGTTTGAGGTTGCTGTGAGCTAGGCTGACGCCACGGCACTCACTCTAGCCTGGGCAACAAAGTGAGACCCTGTCTCAAAAAAAAAAGAAAGATTGTTGGAGTTGGGGTACCTAAAAGGCAGGAGATAGTGATCAGGGTAAAGGTCATGAACTGTGATCAGGGATGGGTAGTAGTCTAAAGCATGACCTTAAGGGATAGGATTAAAGATGAGATCACCGGAAGAGAGGAGTTCCAGCAAATGAGGTATGTTGGAAGGATTATCTATGTACATATTAAAATTGCCAAGAATTAAATAGTAGTGACAATTTGTAAGGAGCCTAGGAACTTGAGGTTGCTGTGAGCTAGGCTGATGCCACTGCACTCACTGTAGCCTGGGCAACAAAGTGAGACTCTGTCTCAAAAAAAAAAAAAAAAAAAAAAAAAGAACAAGAGAGGGAGAACAAGGAAGTTATCTCCCACCTTCAGGTCAAGTGATTTGGGAGCTATGGAAACAATAAAAATGAACAATTGAGAGGGCAGAGGGGCAGCATTGTCCTCAGGCAAGAGAGCCAGTGATTGTTTCAAACAGGTGGTGAAGGGACAGGTTCAGAGAAGAGGCTGAGGATGTACAAGATTTTGCTGCATGGTTCTGAATTTTAGGTACCTTGAGGTTAGGGGCTGAGTTATATTCATGTTTGTATTCCTTTCAGAACATTGCCTGTATGTACTGTTTTTGAGTAATGCTTGTGTTTGGTAAATAAATATTGAATGAATAAATGGGAAATAATTAAAAGCCAGATAGAACAATATTTATTAAGCACCTGCTATTAATATGTGCTTATTATTAACATGAACCCTTTAGAAAGCATTAAGCAGTGAAATGGAAAGGCCTCTAGTATTTTCTTTTAGTATAGTAGTTTTCAATCAGTTTATATATTTCCAGGGCTTAAATCTCATATACTAGTTGACACGGGGGAAAAATATCATCCTTCTAGGAAAGGGGGGCAATGCTCAAATCTTTATAGAGCATTTTTAAAAAGGAGATACAAAATCATAGTAATAATGATAAATATTATTCAACAACCACCTTTAGAAAGTTTATTTTTACATAAAAAAAATAAACACTAGATGATACTTTCAAAGAGTTATTTCAGCTAAACAATACAACATTAAAAAAAAATCACTAGATGATACTTTCAAAGAGTTATTTCAACTAAACAATACAAGGTATTATTATTTTCATTTACCCATAAGAAAATAGGTTAAATTAATCATTTGCTTAAGGTCACATAGTAAGTGTCAGAGATGGGACTAGGAATTGGGGCTTCTGACTAACCCTTTCTCCTTGAGCATTGTTACAGTTGAATCCAGGCGGTATTGGATCGGGAGTTGTGGTAATGCCACAGAATTTGGAGCTATGATCCTAAACAGCTCTTTGATAAAGGCAGTGGTTCCATTTATTGACATTATGCTTCCTGTATCTAGCCCTTTTCATGTAACCTCTTACTACTAATCTTTTCCTTTTTTATTTTAGTATTATCAACTTATTTCCCTTTATAACTCTTCTTTGTCTGTATTGTCCTTTTCAGTGGCATGATGATCCTGCCTGTTATACCTCTGGTTTTTAACTTAGCTGAGTAATATGTAACATGAAGGATCATAAGAGAGAAGTTTGAAAACAACTGTCTGAGAATTTATTTCATATTTACCAAGTAGTATGAAATATATGAGAAAGCTTTCTTTTTCTGAATGTGCAGATCTGTTTATCTGATCCTTTCCTTAAGCTACTTACTTGTATGATGGAGAAAAAAATATTCCATTAATGGTGTACTGGAAGCAGCAGTTTTCCATTTATTATAAGGAATTGACATTTTTTTGTCTAGACTAATTTAGTTTGGACTAAAATCATTCAGTAGTTCATAGGGAGACCTTCTTGGCTTTTTTTTTTTTTAACTACCCCTGAAAATCAGACAGATAAAATGTGTTCATAGTTTTTACAAGTAGGACCTGAAATTATATTCTGTAATATTAAAATTTTTTTTTCTTTATCATTTTAGACCAGTCTGCTTAGTTTTAAATGAAATTCCTTTCATGTCTACTTGGTTTTTACTTGTGTCAACATTTAGGTAAGTCAAAATAATTTCCATTTAATATTTTTAATATGATTCATGTAAACTAATTTAAAATTCTTTTACAAAGTAACTATGGTTTGGATTGATTCTTTTGATTTTTTAAAAATTTTCCTTTACAGTATGCTACCTCTTCTGTTGAAGGATGAACTCCTAATGCCCTCAGTTGTGACAATGATGGCATTTTTTATAGTTTGTGCATTCTCCTTTTCAATATTTGAAAAGACGTCTGAAGAAGAACTGCAGTTGAAATCCTTTTCCACTTCTGTTAGGAAGTATCTTCCATGGTTTACATTTCTTTCCAGAATTATACAATATTTGGTAAGTTGTTCAGTTTTTAAGGAATGGTATATTTTTCAGTATTTCAATAATTTTCAAATTATTGAAATTTCTTTTTCCTTTTATAGCTTTTTGAGATATAATTCACATATATCCACACATTTAAAGTGTGTAATTCATGTTTTTAAGTATGTACCCAGATTTGTACAACATACAATACTGTACTGGAATACTGATATAGACCATCTCCATCACTGCAGAAAGTTCTATTGTACAGTACACTGGTCTAGAGAAGAAAACTGACTACACAATTACATAAACGTGATAATTATTTTTATTGCTCATTTTGGCATTTAATCAAATGTGACCTTGTAATCTTATTTAACATTCTCCTAATTAAATGGAAAATTCTTTGAGGCCAGATGATTACATTTTCTTTCATATGCTCCACTGTTCTTTTTTTGAGACAGAGTCCACCCTGTTGCCTGGGCTAGAGTGCCATGGCGTCAGCCTAGCTCACAGCAACCTCAAACTCCTGGGCTCAAGCAATCCTTCTGCCTCAGCCTCCCAGGTAACTGGGACTACAGGCATGTGCCACTGTACCTGGCTAATTTTTTCTATTTTTAGTTGTTTGGCTAATTTCTATTTATAGTAGAGGCCAGGTCTTGCTCTTGCTCAAGCTGGTCTTGAGCTCCTGAGCTCAAGCAATCCTCCTGCCTCAGCCTCCCAGAGTGCTAGGATTACAGGCGTGAGCCACCGCGCCAGCCCTTCACTGTTCTTTACTAAAACATTAGCTCACTGTAAGCATTCAGTGAATATAAAATGTAATTTTTCATTTGCCATGGAAAACTTTTTCATAGACAAGTTCTCGGGATTAGCTTGGAATTTGCATATTGATACATAATAGATGTATATATTTTGGGGATGTGTGATAGATAACTCGATATATTCATATAATGAGTAAAGATCAAATCTGGGTAATAGGGATTTCCATCACCTTAAATATTTATCTTTTATGTTAGGAAAATTTGAATTATTCTTTTCTAGCTACTTTGAAATGTACAATAGAGTAACTGTATTCATCCTACTGATCTATCAAACACTAGGTTTTATTTCTTCTAATTGTGTATTTGTACCCATTAGCTTAGAATTTTATATCCTTTGGGGACCTAGGGCTCCAAGGGGATGCCATGAATTTAACCCTGACTAGCAGTAACATCTATCCCAGATATCTTTCTTCAGTGCCTGGGTGGTATGAAGTATTATGAGATAGGTGTTCTCAGGCTTTGGCTATATGTGGGAATCACTTAGCTTTGAAAAGTACTGGGGCTACTCTAGAGATTCTGATTTAATTGGTCTGGGGTGTAGCCTGGGCATTGAGATTTTTAAAACCCTTCATATGATTCTAATGTAAAGCCAAAGTTGAGATCTACCAGGAGAGATTGGACCTTCAACCTTCACTTTAAATTCTGTTCATTTAATAGCTACAAATCAGTGTTATCAGTACATTATGTTTCACCTTCCATTCTACTTAATAATACTTTTTTTCCTCCCTTATAGTTTCTTGTCTCAGTGATCACTATGGTCCTTCTGACGCTGATGACTGTCACACTGGATCCTCCTCAGAAATTACCAGACTTATTTTCTGTATTGGTGTGTTTTGTATCCTGCTTGAACTTCCTATTCTTCTTGGTATACTTCAACATTATAATCATGTGGGATTCCAAAAATGGAAGAAATCAGAAGAAAATCAACTAGTTGTATTCCTAAACAAATGTGAAAATGTGAACCGTGCTAAAAGGTTTTGTGAACTTTTTGCTGTGTATAAATGAAATTATCATTTTAAGAATCATGGAACTATAGGAAAGGAAATCATGAAAAGTCATCATTTTCCATACAAAATAAACGTATGTCAGGACCAAAGAACAATGGAAGCTTTTATTTTCTGTCTGTTGTCTGGCCAAAGCATTGTAAAAAATTGTAGTTTTATTAATATTCACAGCTATTCAAGTGGAAAAAGAAGAGAAAAATGTCCTTAATCTCAGTGTTTACTTAGGAAATATACTCTATATATTATGTCTTGAAAATTTTGAGAAAGATTTCTTGGTCAGGTGCAGTGGCTCATGCTTGTAATCCCAGCACTCTGATGCTGAGGTGGGAGGATCACTTGAGCCTTGGAGTTTGAGACTAGCCTGGGCAACACAGTAAAACCCCATCTCTAAAAAAAATTAAAAAATTAACCAGGCATGGTTACACACCTATAGTCCTAGCCAATTGGGAAGCCAAGGCAGGAGGATCGCTTGAGCCTAGGAGTTAGAGGCTGCAGTGAGCTGTGGTCAGGTCACCGTGTTTTAGCCTGAGTGACAGAGCAAGACCACATCTCAAAAGTGAAAAAAAAAGAAAGAACTATTTCTTGATTTTTGCTTTGTCTAAATCTACTTTATCAGACCATATAATAGTCTGATGAGAGAATTGAGCCCCTTCTTTTTATAGGAAATCACCAATTTTGGTATTCAAATTTAGTTTTCCTTACATTTTAGAATGCAATTAAAGAAGTTTATAAATTATTTTTCAGGGAATTAGATATGTGATAATCTTTTTAATTACCGAGAAGGCAATTTAAACTGTTTGAAGTTTGAACATGCCTTGTTACATGTACAAATCTGAATTTCTTTTTAACAAGGCAAAAAGATTTAAACCATGTCCTTTATTTCCAAGAATGCAGATTTACTTGAATCCAATTAAAAAATGAATTTTCCTAAGGAGAAAAAAAAGAACTTTCTTGAATTTAAATCTAAGTTTGAAATCTAAGTAGTTTGAGTGAAATCTTTTTAATTATTTATGATCACTAGTTCTAAACTTCCATAATCATTCTGTTTCACATTAACTGCATTATATAGGATTCCATCCTTTTCTTTCCTTTTTTTTTTTTTGAGACAGAGTCTCGCTTTGTTGCCCAGGCTAGAGTGAGTGCCATGGCGTCAGCCTAGCTCACAGCAACCTCAAACTCCTGGCTCAAGCAATCCTCCTGCCTCAGCCTCCCAAGTAGCTGGGACTACAGGCATTCGCCACCATGCCCGGCTAATTTTTTGTATATATGTTAGTTGGCCAATTAATTTCTTTCTATTTATAGTAGAGACGGGGTCTCGCTCTTGCTCAGGCTGGCTTCGAACTCCTGACCTCGAGCAATCCGCCCGCCTCGGCCTCCCAGAGAGCTAGGATTACAGGCGTGAGCCACCGCGCCCGGCCAAGGATTCCATCCTTTTCTTGTGACATGGTTCAAGGTTACCACTGCCAAAGCATTGGTTCATGTCATGCTTCATGTTAACTTTGTCTTTTTAATACTGTATCCCTCTATATTGGCATAAGCTCGTCTTTACTGTAGTATTCAACTGGCAGAAATAATGTATGATATCCATGTTGTAATTTCTCATATAAAGATATGTGTTCTTTAGTCTCTGTGATAAAAATAAAACAATCATTTTACAATCAACCTGTTTTTTAGTGAATATATTTATTTCATAAGATAGCATTAAGGCATATTAAGTGGTGGTATGTTTTAAAACGGTGCAAATCAAACCACATACACACAAAGAAAATTTGGTTCTGGATATGGATAGTTGCATGCTGATGCAAGGAAGTATATGTCTGATAAAGGAAGTGGGTTTAGACAAAGCAAAAATCAAAAAGTATTTCTTTCTCAAATAAATGTGCATAAAGACTCAAAGGGCAGGTCAGCACAGAAAAGCAGCCTTGAATGGCTGCCGAATCAGCAGGAACATCGCTGTCCATGGTCACCATCTGTAATCACTGTGCCCAAATGTCAGCATCTTGGCTGGCTGGTATAGACTTCTTTTTTAAATTTTGTTTTGTAATAGTATACTTGTGTTTAACAAAGAATATTGATTTAAATAAATGATGAAATTTTAAGTTATAACTTCTAAATAATTGGAATAGAAAAACTTTATTTAAAAATAAAAGTTTTATATAAACATTAGTAAAATAGAATGCACCTGTATTCAAAGTATCCCACAGGTAAATTCTGTAAATACATGCACATTTTTCAGATGATTTAATCATATTGAGGTATACTGTAGCTTTTATAGAGACCTGTAGCCATTGTCTTATAAGTCAAGTGTCTTTCATATCTATTAAAAACCAGTTTAAGAGTATACTTTGAACTTAGAGGGATTAGGTTCCAAAATACCAAAAATATCCAGCAATGAATAAAGATCACAGAAGTAGCCAATTCCAAAGCACTTCTCTTAGCTAAACTCAGGATTATAAGGATGCTTTAAAGATATTCAAGTTATGCAAAAATATTAAAGATAGATTTTTCACCTTCTTCACTAATATACCTATCAAAAAATGAATCATTCTAAGTTATTTTCAAGTACATTTTAGATGGAAGAGGCATTCTGAGAAATGCAGTTTTCTCAGTTGCCAATAAACTTAGGTTTGCTTCTTAAAATGAAGAGAATGGAGTGTATGTTCATGTATCATATAAGAGGCATACAGAAGTCATTTTCCCTTGAGGCCTCAGGGAGGGGAGAAAAATCCCCGATGTAGCATTCTGTCCAAATGATAAACCACAACTAAGTGAGTGAAACATTTACAAAAGTCAAGACAGCCAAAGAAGCCTCAATAGAAAGAAAGAGATGGATAGGATATAACTAAATAATGGTTCAAGTAACACAATGGTTTCAAGTCTCAATTGGTCTCTCTTGTGTTATGTTCATTGGAAGATCAGGGCCAAGTATATCCCCTCCCCCCACAATATAAACATTAGTTTTGTGTGTGGTTCTTTCTGCTTTGTCCTTCATGTGGCCTCCAAGGGTGATAAAGCGAGAGTCATCCGATCTACAATGAAGGGAACTGGAAAATGATTCTTAGCAGACCCAGCTGTTCTGAAAGGCAAAAGCTTAGTGTATCAAGAGGTCAAACATACAGTAACTGGTTTAATAGCATTAAGCACATACCTGCATAATTTGGATTACATATGAAACCAATCTACTTCTTAACCCTGTATTTCCTAACTAATGTAGGTTACTTTATAAAATGTTTTGGCTATATCCTAGGGTTAGTTTTCAATCCTAGAAAAATCCCTTTTAGTTATCTTTGGTAACATCCTATTATAAGGACTGTATCATAAAGTATTTTTAATATTTAGCAGATAGATTATCTTTAAAAATCTCATTTAAATAGTACCAAGAAAATCATTAATGAAGGCAATCAGGTTTAATAGTTAAGGGGGTTACTATGTAATAACTATGTCATTTATATTAATAATTTTTAAAAAAACACTTTCATTTTAAAAAGTGAATCTGAAGTTTCTCTAAGTGGGAAATGAGTCATTTCAACTTTAATTTGTTAAATTTTGTTTCATATTTTCATATAGTATTTTTGTTTTCATGATACACTGAATCATATGACATATTTTATACGACTTTTGTCAAAACTTACAGGAAAGTTCCAAAGGTAAACATTTTTTTCCCTATGGAATTGGTCAAATATAGAATTTTTTATCAAGATAATAATATACTCTGTGATTCTCCCTCTCCCCTTTGTGAGTGACAACACAAACCAATGATGATACAAAATACCACTATAGAACAGATATTTAATGCTTCAAAATAATTTGGAAGGGATCACATACTGCCCCATAATACAGGTCTTTTCTTCAAATGCAACAGTCTGTGTAGTTTAGTTCAAAAAAACTCAATATTTAAATGTCTGTACTGAAAAATGCATTCCTGCATTTTATAAAAGGTGTGAAATTTAAAAATTTTAAAAAATAAGCAGCTGGGGCTTTAAATGGGAAAACTGGTACCTAATTCCACTCACCATTACATTTAATCTGAATTTTAGGAAAATATATAGCTTTACCAAAGGTGCCATTTTCTGATATGCTTTATTAAGTCTATCCACAAATGATAAAAGTATACAGAAATGTATGTGATACAAAATACAAGTCAAGATCCTCCTGTACATATTGGCTTTATGTTAAAGGGTCAAGAAGAAATGTATTATTTACATTGAGATTATCTACTGGTGTGTGTAGAAAGTTTAAATTAGCTGCAAGAAATTTTATCTAGACACGCACCTGCCTAGTGCTATGAGCTGGTATTTACTGGGCAGATTAATTACAAATATTTCTCTGTTCCTTTAAATATGATCAGGCAGATGCAGAGGTTGCTGCTCATAGTGAGTGCATTTCTTCTAAATGCCTGTGGGATATAAAAGGTGATTATTACATCATCAAGAATTAGTTTCCAAATTAACATGCATCTCATACATGACTTAAGAAATGATTTTAATACCCGCTTACCATGTAATTCAGTACCTACTTTAGTTAGATACTGGTAACTTCTTGTTTGCTTATTTTTGAATCTTCTAAGGAAGAATCACCTTCCCAAATAACTGCCAATATGACTACTCTGACATACCACTCCTCACCTTGTGTGTCCATACTTGAGATACTTCTGAGAGAATTTTAAAACTCCAATATGACCTACAGAAAATGCCAAATTTACATGCCTTTGTCTGTAAGCCTCAGGGGCCTTTTAGCAGGTGTCTCCTCCAACAGCTGCCCCAGGGGAAAAAAAAAAGACAGTATTTACTGTGTCAGATGCCTCTTCAGTGTGTCCCTCTGGGGACTCCTAGTGGTGGTAAAAGCTCTTACTCTTTTGGCCTTGTGACCCTAGTGTGAGAAGCCTTTGAAGAAAGCAGCCATTGGCAACTGATGGCAAACATTCCCATAGGGCCTTCAAGAAATGACCTAATCATCCCATCCAGAGGTAATACATGTCTGCTCTGAATTCCTGTAACACTGCTTATTCTTCATGTGGTACTTACAGTAGAGAGGAATGTTTATATCCCTCCATCAGAAGGGGAAGGAAATTCTGTCAACTCTTCCTCTTTCTATACCCCATGGAAATATGACAGATTTGATTGGTCAAAATCTGGAACATTCATTGGTCCACATTTTACTAGTAATATTACAGATAAGTATTTTTATATAATTTTCTTCCCCACTGTGTAGATTCCCTCTCACTGCCTACTCTCAAGTCCAATGGGACTTTTCTGTTTCCTAATTTCATGTAAGGAAACCAACCCGTTCCGTGGCTCTGACTTGCGACCAGGGTTGTAAATGCACATCTGTGGTCTTCACAGCTTTAGGCACATGGACTTGGGTGTCTATTTCAAAGATTAGCTTTCTCTTCAGGTTCAGGAAAGCACACAGAGTCCAAGATTTAGATTCAGTGTGGGAGAGAAGAGGTTCTATTTTGGCTTTAAGGCTTAATCGGCTTTAGTTACCCCAAACTTCCGATAGAGGGCCTGCCATGTTGGAGGTTATCAATTTCTCCACAATCAAGTTGATACTTTGATCCTCAATGGATTCACTATCCTCGCTTGTACTTGCTATTGGCCAGAGCCTGGAAAGAAGAGTCTGAACTTGTATCACTTATAATAGCTTGCCTTACATTGTTATTGTTTCATGTATATAAACCTTATCTTGTTAGGTTTCAAAGGTTGTTATTCTATACAGTGCTTTGTTCAAACTAAGCCTCATACTTTCTTTCTTTAACCAAGTGATTTATCCACGTTGTTACTAGATAAAGTATCCCGGTTATCTTCTGTTACTATTAGCCAAAATCATGTTTTTTCTCTTCCCCTCTTTTGATGGTTTTAGCACTCTGCCTATGGCCTCTGGGTTGCTGTCACCCTTACTTTCTCTCTTATTCTAACAATATTTCATAAAGGCTTCATTTTTTAAAAGCCCTGAGAATGAATTTTTTTTGTTTTTGAGACAGAGTCTCACTTTGTTGCCCAGTCTAGAGTGAGTGCCGTGGCGTCAGCCTAGCTCATAGCAACCTCAAACTCCTGGGCTCAAGCAATCCTTCTGCCTCAGCCTCCCAAGTAGCTGGGACTACAAGCATGTGCCACCATGCCCGGCTAATTTTTTGTATATATATATTTTAGTTGGTCAATTAATTTCTTTCTATTTTTAGTAGAGACAGGGTCTTGCTCAGGCTGGTTTCGAACTCCTAACCTCGAGCAATCCGCCCGCCTCAGCCTCCCAGAGTGCTAGGATTACAGGCGCGAGCCACCACGCCCAGCCTGAGAATGAATTTTTATGGGACAATCCTCCCCACTGAACATTTACAGGTCAAGAGGAATAATCCCCGAAGTGTGAGGAAGGGCAGGAGCTGTTGTGCAGACAGGGAAGGTGGCCACAGTGGTATCAGGAGTACTATGTGTGTCCGAGGTTTCTAGGACATAGGCAAAATCAAGGAGTTCATACCCTCCCTTATTCTTACTGGCAGGGCAGCTATGACAAATGCACAAAAGAAAAGCAATGAGAGAACATGGAGGAGAGGGATCTGGGAAGCCTAGTAGAAGGTGAGTTCTTAGCAGGTTTTGAAAGAAGGGTAAGATTTTGACAATGATGAGGGAAAAAGCATGCTAGGCAGAGGAGACAAGAACAAGGGTAAGGAAGAAAGGCACTTTCTGGGGGATGTGTCTGGGAAATGGCGAGTAATCTGGAGTGAATGAGGCACAACGGAGAAATTGGAAAGGTAAGCTGTGATCAGATCAGGGAGAGTCCTGAATGTCAGTTTAAATTTGGATTTTATTGTGAATATGGTAGAGTGATAATTTTTAAAGTACAGATTTGTCCAATAGGAGGATAGGCTGTAGGGGCAAGGGACTAAAGGGCAGAGAGGTTGGTTACAATGGGGATAACAATAATCTGGGAGAGGTAATGAAGGAAGAAACTAGTCCAGTGGCCTGGAAAGAACTAAGCATTTTCAGAAGTAATATGATCTGGAAGCAGTTTGGATATGCAGACAAAAAGAGACAGAATTTTGAGCTTTTTAGCCTGATCAATGGAATGATGCAATCCCTAGAAAGGTAGAAGGACAATTTCAAAGGAGAAATGATGAAATCAGTATACTTGAGGGACATTGTATGGCAGCTGAAATTGTGGGTTTATAGCTCAGTAGGGAGGTCACAAATAAATTTGGAAACCATATACAAGAAGGTAAAAACTAAAGTCAGGGGAATAGATGAGATCATGAACAAAGTGCTCCAAATGGGAAGAAAACACTGTCAAAGCAGAATCCAGGCCAGGTGTGGTAGCTCACACCTATGATCCTAGCACTTTGGGAGGCTGAAGCAGGAAGATCACTTGAGGTCAGGATTTCAAAACCAGCCTGGGTAACATAGCTAGACCCTGTCTCTACAAAAAAATTAGCCAGGCATGGTGGCATGTGCCTACATAGTCCTAGCTACTCAGGTATTCGGGAGGCTAAGGTGGGAGGATTGCTTATGTCCAGGAGTTTGAGGTTACAGTGAACTATGATTATGCCACTGTACTCTAACCTAGGTGACAGTGAGACCCTGTCTCTTAAAAAAAAAAAGATATCCCCAAATTGTGATGATCTTTACTAGAATCCATGAACAGAAAGCTATTCTCAGTATTCTAAATTCCCCGTAAGTTTATTAATTAGAATGTCATATACTAAATGTGTATATTTATTTGCTTAAACATATACCCAGTTATGATATTTTATAGGTGAGGAAACTCAGGTACAAGGTCAAGAATATGTACCCACGATCACCATCTAATACAATATTTCTCTGATGGGTTTTTATGAGTCAGAAATTTTATAAAACATCTAACCTTAGAATGAATGAATATAGGTATATGCGTGTATATGTATATATCTCTATCTATCTATCTATCTATCTATCTATCTATCTATCTATCTATCTATCTATCTATCTATCTATCATATCCTTAATATTAGTAGGATATAAAATCCTAGGTCAGTAGTGAAATCTGACATTCATAGATTATTACTATGCAGTGGTCAAGAGGATATGTTCTGGTGCCAGACTACTTAGCTTAGTATCCTGGCTGTGTCTCTTAGGTAATTCTGGGATAAGGTAATTAGCCTTTTTGTGCCTTAGTTTCCTCACCTGTAAAATAAAGATAATAACTGTATCAAACTCACAAGTTGTTGTGAAGATTAAATGGGATATGTACAAAGCACTTATAACACTGACACATAGAAAGTGCTCAATGTTAGCTGTTATTATAAGCTATTATTTATGGTATACAATAGAACGATCATTTTAAGGAATGAAAGTGACACAATTTTCTATATAAGATCATTGCAGTACTTTAAAAACGGCTTGTTTCTTGAGATACTATTTCCAAAGAAGAGTATTTTGGGGATAAAATATAACTTTTATTTTGCTTTAATTTTTTTCCCTAAGTGACACCAAGAAACACCTGGTTAGCTTCTAAGAATCTTAATTAATACTGACACCACAAAGTCTGGGATGATGCCAGTTCTTAATGTGAATGTTCAGTTACAGGTGCACTAAACACTCATATCGCCTCATGACTCATATTGCTTCTAGCATATATGTTATTATATAATAAGCTACTTATAAACATGTAATTTTTACTTGTATTGCTGAATCAATAGGAATTGTTTTGAAGGTATAACTAGTTAATCTATAATTATTTACTTAATTTAGCACATTTCAAAATTTAACAGATTTGTTATATCTTGTTTAGTCGGATGTGTTTTATAGAAATTATAACCTACCTGTTGGTATCTATTTAGCTATTTATACAAAAGGTGCTCAATTAAGGGCCTTCTTTATACCCAGTTAAAAATGTGCCCTCACTGACTTTTAAAGCTAGCCTAGTCAGCTCTAAAGTGTTATTTTATAATAAGCCTCTAACTCACAGATCTTGTGTCCTCCTGTTGTTTATAAGAAGAGATGAAAGATAATTTCAACTAAAGCTCCAAAGCTCATGCCCCTGTTTCCTTACTGAAAGCACCAAATCTGATAATGCAAGTAAAATGTTTCTACCTGAACAAAACACAGTGAAATTTAACAAGCTTAAACTGAATTAGAAAGGTAAAACAGTACCTCAGTTTAAAATGGATTTAAGGAATTCATAGCTGTCAGGATGACATTCTGTATGAAAGAAGAAAGATTGTTTTTCAGAAAATAGTCCAAAGTAACTTGTCACAGTATATGACACAGAATAAATGCTGAATCGAACTGAAATTAAAATAACCTAAAGCTTTATTTTACATTATATTAATAAATAGCAGTTTGGGGGCTACAGATTCTCATTTCAATATACTACTGATTCGATTTCAGAATGTACATTTTAAAATTTGTTTTGAAAACTGCCAAGACATTTATTAGTATGATGCATGCTTAATACCATTGTTAGTATACTTTTTATGGTTTATTCTAATTTCTTGTCATTTATGCTAGATTCTATACTCCTGAGGGCAGGACTACGTCTGCCTTGATATCAGTTTACCCCAATGCTAGAACAATGCCTGGCTCATAGTAGGAATCCAATGAACATTAATGAGGTGTGTAAGGACATAGTAATTTATAAGTTTTTGAAAATATTTAAAAATTCTTAGTGGCCATTTGCTGTCATTAATTCACACATCCATTGCCCTGTATTGTGGTCCTTCTTTCCAGGTTCTGTACTAGACTCTGGGGCTACAGTACAGAGTTAAGACTTGTTTGTTTGTTTGCCAAAAAGGGGCCTAGAAAGAGTCCTGCAACCAGTTACAATGCACTACAACATTATACATTTATAAAAATTCAGACAAGTGTTGTGGCAGCCTAGAAGATGAAGCAATTTAGCTTTACCTAGGAGAGCTGGGGAGAGCTTCAGAGGATGTGACATCTGAGACAGACCTTAAAAGATAAGCAGTAGTTTGCTAGACAAAGAAGGAAGAAAGCACAATCTAGGTAGTGGGAAAAGCAGCAGAGAGGCCTGGAGTCCTGAAAGATTCCAGAGGGCTGAAGCATGTCGTATGGATAGTATGAATAAAAATGACCATCTTCTTCCTATCTGAGGTCTGAGCTGGAGGAGAAATCACCTAATATTTAATAATTACTCAAGTCCTGCTTTTAACTGTATAAGTAGCTATATAACACTAGAAACATCAGATCTATTATATATGTGTTTAAAATATATAAACCACTTACTTAGAGAATTTATTCAACTCTTTTTTGTGGGGCTTTTTTGACTAAGAGTTAAAAATGGAAAAAAAGTTCACCTGTCAGGTGACATAAAGCCAATTTCTACTAAATGTGCCAGAATAATTTTTCTCCATCTCAAGAACAGTTAGTCTTCAGTCTATTCATTACTGTCTTTTTATAGTATTTTTATTTAATAAAACCTATTAAGACTACCATACAAATCTCTTTACTTATGCTTTTATCTTTTAACTGATCAATTTTTATATTGCTGACATCCCTTCTTCACCATTTGCTCATTTAAAAATTCATAGTATGTGAGATATGTCTCTAGGGAAAATGTCTATAAAATTTGTTACAGCTGGCAAATGTGTATGAGTCAGTGATAGCACATGACTAAATGCTTCACAGAAAATAAAATTTGTTTCTGTAGTAAGCAGAACTGTTTAAATGTTATTTATTTTTATGTTTCAAAGAAAATATATTGTGAAGTGTTGCATTGATTTAATACGCAACAATGTCTGTGTACACGCTGTAGAAGGAAAATTTATGAAACCTTTGCACAACTCCTTTAATTGAATTTTCCAAATCTCTCACCACACACAAATAATCAATATCTTCTGCAGAGAAAACCAGTCAGAATTATTACAGTCTTTCTTTTCAATTTTGTTGTCATCAGCACATACAGAGCACCTGGATATTTGTAATGTCTGATAGCAAGTTACTTACACCTCTTAAACACATAATTGCTACTAAGTGAGCCCAAATCTATAGTTTTTTTTTACTGATTTTACTTAAAAAATTTTTTTACTGATTTTACTTAAAAGAAAAATTATCATACTTCTAGTAAAGTATTAAAAAATTTAAATCATGGAAGAAATTATTAAAAAGGCTGTGAAAAGTAATAAACAGTTTGCTTTTACTTAAATCCTAGACAAATCTGAAGTAAGCATTTTTAGCAGCTGAAATGAATCCCCAAAACAGTGATGAATAGTGTAAAACAAGAGCATTAACATTATTAATAGGAAAGGTATGAGCCACGTATAGCATACATGGCAGCTGAATCCTTATAAAGAGCTAAGGCCTACAGTTATACATTAATGTATATTTGTGCTACCAAAATTAATAGCTCCATTTTTTATCTCCAGATAAACCTAGAATGTTAAAGCATAAGGGGGAATTTTTGTTGTTTCTCCTAAATCTCATCATGTCTAAAATTCAAACCTCAGTGCTTTTAAAATTGAAGTATATGTTTGAAAAAAGATATTGTTTAATGTTAAGATAAAATAGAAAAAACTAAAAGGTTAGTAATCTTTTGGGAGTAAAATTATTTAGCTGATGTGATGAATACTTTTTCAAGCCTGAGTAGGGGAAAGAACAACATATTTTTATGTTTAAAAATACTTCAGTGGGTGGTTAGAATGAAAAGGCAGTATCAACCTATTTTATAGTCTTAGAACAGAGGGAGTTTAAAATTTGTCTAAGAATTTGATAACTTTAAAATCCTATAACCAAGATGAATTTTACAATGAAAGAACACACTAAGTTAGCTAAAGAAAACAGGAACATTATAGTGTATATTTTTTTAAAAGAACAGAGCTAGAAATTCTGAAATATTTTCTATTATAAACAGCTGAAACAATCAACTTTTTTGAACAATGTGAAGTTCAGATGGTTACATTTCATTTAAAATATGCATACTGCAACCTACACAATTATTTTCACAGCAGATAAAATATGTTTTGGACTGAAGCTAAATGTCTTGATTTCATATCTTGGCAATTGCTCTACAATTTGCTTACATTCTTTTCAAAAACATTTTGTTTATTGGAAGTACTAGTCATAGACAAACAATGATGGTATTTTTTAATATCTCCAAGAAAATGAAAACACTAAGTACTACATAATGCCATCTATTGACTAAGGAATATCTGTATCAAGTTGTTTTAAGTAGAGGTTGACTATGTAAAGTAAATAAATTTCATGCTTTACCATGTGATGATAATGTGACATTCCATCTGTATCAACTCACTGAATGGTCATAAGTTTTAAATCTTCACCATAACAAATTTAAAATAATTTTGAAAATTCACATCCAAAGCTAACAGAAAAAGAATCTTTCATTTCACTATTTTCCTAATAGTCATAAAGCCAGTATTATTGAGGAAAACGAAGTTAAGCTTATTTCCTAAGTAATTGAAGAAAGAAGTTCCTTTGTTAAAGAAATCTGTATTTAGCAGGGGAGATCCTCTTTTATGCATACACTCCATCAAGGCATTCCCTGATTTACAAGGTCCAGCTCTTTTGAAAACTATAAAAATCTCAGTGTGCCTTTTCATGTTATTGTGTATGTTTTATATTTCTCTTGAATAAGTTATATAAAGCCTTAACAATGTATGTCAGATGTCTATTTATTTAAAACACTGCTATTGTTATTTTTACAACTACACTCTTCTTCCTATAATAAAGACTGCAACCGAAGTTAAATGGAACTGCCATTGAAATGAAAAAATAAATAGAACTAAGAGACTGATTTGAAGGGGCAATCTGACTGACTTTCAATAGAATTTACATAATTTCTAATATTATGAAGATTCCTAAAACATTTTTAAATTTAAACAATTCTGGGTACTAGCATAATAAAAGAAAAAGGCAAAGTAGAAATTTCTATAAAAAGCTGAAGGCCAGATCTCAAAATAAGAAACATAAAACACAAATTAATTTGAGATGTCAAAAAATTAGCAAAATCCTCTTAAAGGGGTGAAAATTCTTAGCTTAGTAAAAAAAACTTACATTAGTGTGTGTTTATGTTTATATATCAACTAAACCAAAAAAGAAAAAAAAGCCTCCAAAACTAAAAATATACACATTAGGAATTAGAGAAAGAGGTAGGAAAAACATTCAGCAAAATGACTTAAACGCAAATTATAACAAATATAAGCGTTAATCTGTTTTTCATGCAACATTAATTTTCCAAAATTAGTTGGAAAGCTAATGATGTTTAGAATACCTCAGGAAATATAAAGAGCTAGTAAACTCTTGCCAAGAAACAGAAATGGAAGATGACTAATACATAAACACAACATAATACATATTAATATATAAATATTATATTATATATTTTAAAACTCAGTTTTCATTTAAATCTCAACAAATAAAATGAATGATTATTAGAATCTTTTTTTTTTTTTAAGAGACGAGGCCTCGTTCTGTCACTCAGGCTGGAGTACAATGGCATGATCATAGCTCTCTGCAGCTTTGAACTCCTGGGCTCAAGTGATCCTCCTGCCTTAGCCTCCAGAGTGATTGGGGCTATCGGTGTGTACCTGGCTGATTTTTTTTTCATTATTTTTTCTTAGAGATGGGGTCTTGAACTCCTGGCCTTCAGAGTTCCTCTCATCTCAGCTTTTGGAGTTGCTTGGATTATAGGCATGAGCCACTGTGCCCAGCTATTATTAAAATATTTAAAACATGATTTAGTAATACAATCTCCTCTACACATGAACAAAACTCAGTCCTTTGGGAAAATCTGGTAATGGGCAAGTCTTAATGCCTAAAATAATTGAAAATAGTTTTAAGGCTGATCATGCAAAACACACAAAGAATTGATTGATATATATTGGCTAACTGACAGGAGATGACAAAAAATATCCCCTAGAAGGAAAAATTTTAATGAAGTATTAATATTTTCGGAAAAAATTTTTTTACATTATTAACTGTGACAATTCAGTAACTTGTTCTGGAATTTTTCCCCTTGATTTCTCAAAGCTGTTTGTAAAAGCCAAGTATGTGAAGCCTGATTCTAATTAGTTCTAGGAAATTACATATATTTTTATCAAATAACACTATTGGCATAGAATATAGAGAAGAAAGATTTTTTTTTTCTAGCTGGGAAATAATAAATATTTCAATTTCCCATTATGATCCTTTAAAACTTGTCAAGTTAGGAGAGACTGAAATCACTGAAACTCAGTTACACATTCTAATCAAGTTATACAACTAAAGCAAGACAGAAGAGATCAGATCCCAAGCCATGTTCTTAAATTCTTGGGATCACAGCAGACGTCAGCTATTCAAGTGAAAGGCTCAGGAAGCTGGCTAAACTCCCTTCCCACATGAGCTTTGAGGCTGGGCATGGTGGCTCACGCCTGTAATCTTAGCACTCTGGGAGGCCCAGGCAGGCAGATCGCTCAAGGTCAGGAGTTCGAAACCACATGAGCTTTGGAAGAGTCTTGCCATGGCTGCTGCCCTGCCATGACTCAGTTAACCAAGGGATCTGACTTGCTGGGAATCCCAGCACTTTCCATCACAAACTTACTCCTGGTTTATTATTACAAGTCCTAAACCTTAACATACTAATACTAGATTGTTGAAGCAGTTTCAGTTATGTGTCAAGTTTGAATCTGAAAGTTGGGATGACTGGATGATTTCATTTGTTAGGAAAAGACAACATGGAATAATGAAAAGACCATACATAGTTTTTGAGATCAGATTGGTCTTTAATCGGAATTCCTGCTGTCACTTAAGTAGCAGTGTCTTTGGGCAAATTACTTAATATTTTTTGTGTCTTTGTTCCTTGTCTATGATGACAATGATAGTACAGTATAGCTATCTTGCTGTAAAGATCTGTTGATCCTAGTATTAAAAATATAGTAATTATTGGTAGTCATTGGCACTTAAAAATGGTAGACTGAAACATGGCTATTCATTTCAAGGCCTAATACTACTTGCAAAGATTGCTAAATGGTATCCGTACTGGTACTATTAAAACGATCACTTTTACGTTGGTCTAAAGGTTTTAATATCATATAGTCCATGATTAATTTGCTCATTGAGGTGTGGCTGTGTATTTCCTATGGGAATTTAAAAACTGCTAATTTAGTTTCCCATGCTATGAAATGCCTGGAGGCATAGGAGTTCATAGTAGATGAAACATCATTAATGATTTGAAAGAGTCCAGATTACTGGTTACAAAATAACTTTCAGTGCTTTGTGTATCCTTCTAACACACCACTGAAAACTGTAGTACATCTGTGCATTGTTGCCCCTATTTTTCTGTTTTCTTAAAAAGAAATTTTAATGAAGAGACAAAACTAAATCTTACACTGAAAATTGTATTTCAAAAGACATATAAAAAGTTCAATCATCAGAGAAGTTGATCTCATCAGATACTGTCTTCTGCTAAATGCAATATACAGCTTTTCAAATGAGATTCATGGTCTTTTAAAAGAACACATTAAAAAGAACCCATGATGATTGGTTTTAAGTAGTGAAATGAGGTAAAAATATCTCTTTATGTTAAACTAAAACACAACTCTTTACCTTTGTGAAGAAGTCCTGAACTCTTCTTTTCAAATAGTTTTTGTTTTGTTACTTTTGTCACTAAAAGAAAAAAAATTCCATATTAAGAATTAACATGGAATATGAATAGTTTCTCATTACTTGTAAGAAACAACTTTATAGCAAAAATAATTCAAAGTCATACATATTTATAGGTATCAAATATAAAATACAATACTTTATTATATCTTATTTTTAAAATGAATGCTACATAAAAAAGCCTACTATCAGTTTCAAAATATATTCTTTTCCTTCACATTCAAGAGGAATCCCTAAAATAACATACCACGGTAAAAGATATGTGGCTTCTTATTTAAAGAAGGCAATAGCATTTTTATCACATGCCTAGTAGTGGTATATATAAGGATGTCCATCAAATTTAAATGAGAAAAATTATAGTTTATCTTTAAAATTATTGTCATTGAAAACTCATAAATTCTTCTTACTCAGTTCTTTGGTTTTCTGCATTTCTCTTTTTAAGAAACATGATGTACCGGAGATACCAATGAGATTTTCAAGCTCTCTACTGCCCTCCAAAGCCTAAAAGAAAGCCATCTTAAATGAGTTTAGTAAGTTCTCTACATGTATAAAATTATCAACAAACCTAGAGAAAATGCAGTATACATTGTTTCCTTCATTTGAAAAATTTATATTCTATATTAGGAAATTTAACTTCTTCTAGTAGGTCAACTATTTCAAGCCCTAAAATGCCTGAATAAAAACAATTTGTTATTAACCAACTAGAGTAAACATAATCTACAAATTTACTTAAATGTAAAAAAGTCAGATATTACTAAAATATTAAAGTAATGTTCTTATAAGAAAAAAATTCCCATGAAAAGTAAATTAAACATACTCTCTACAAATGCTTTCCTGGATTAGATTATCTAATCAGAGGCTTTTTTCCTATTATCCTTTCCAAATGAGGTAGTAGAAGTATGAAAAACTGTGTGGAAAAAAAGGCAAACCTGTATACTATTTAAATTTTGCATTATCTCCATGATTTCTTCTGATGATTTCTCAACTTTAGATAGCAACATCATGAATCTAGAAATGAAGAAAAAAATATTTACCAAGAGTATTTAAACACAGCAAATCATTTTCAGAGCTTTAATTCTTTTTAAAAGAATTTAGATTCAGTTTTCTAATCCTTTCTTTACATTTTTCAAAGTGGTAAAAGATATAAATGTTCCTCTTTCATTCTTTCATTTCTTTACCAGAACAATATATATTATCAACTATCATCTTTCAGAGTTTCACTTCCTCTCATTCTCACTGAACTGCTCCTTTCTCCATAATGCCACCTTGAGAACACGAATACACCGCTGTTCTCTTCTTTACCTTGACCTGAGTCTATGAATCAGTATCACACAGGGACTTTCTTTTAATAAAAAATACGTTTTATGACTTTAATATAGTTAAGTATGAAAAAAGATATGAGGGCAATCTTTTAAATTTGAAAGTAAAGAAAGGAAAGGAAGAAAACTTCACTTGGAATTTTACCTTTGGAATGTATCTCCAGCTAGCATTTTGGAAAAATTCTCGTACATTTTTAAAAGAAATTTTATAACTTTATATCATGCTTTCTTTACTTAATATAACATCACACACATTTTTTGAGCCACACAGTTCATATGTCTGTAATTTTAATGGCTGCACAATACGCTATCTAGTAAACCTACCAAAGATGATTTAACCATTCCCTTATTGTTGTAATTTTAGTTTCTTTCTCAATTTTAAGATCCCATTGCTGTATATGATAATCTATACCAACACAGTCTAATAGAAATATAATGCAAGCCACATATGTAATTTAAAATTTTCTAGCAGCCACGTTAAAAGGAGTAAAAACCAACAGGTAAGCATAATTTTAATAATATATTTTCTTTAACCCAATATATCTAAATTATTACCATTGCAACATATAATCAATATAAAAATTATTGAGTATTTCATACTCTTTTTCAAATCCCATGTGTGCTTTACAATTACAACACATCTCATTCTAGATTAGCCACATTTCAAGTGCTCATTAGCCACACGTGGCTAGTGACTACTGTTTCAGACAGCACAAATCTATACTATCAATTTTATAAGAGAAACCAAAAATTCTATTCAAATGCTTTTCAAGATCACATCAGTGCTAGATGTGCTAAACATTAATTTCTGTGCTATTAAAAATAGGACAAATATAACAAAATGTTAAAATTTTCACACATAATATATATGTACAGTATGTTTCATCTAAGTAAAATTTATATCTAAGTATATAAATAAGAAATGGAAACTTCACAGCATTATGCAAAAATTAAAAATTATGAGAGGACAGAATTATGGGTGATTTTTTTCTTTAAAAATTTTCCTTTATTATTATGTATTGTCAATTAAAAGTCATCTGTCGGAGGCCCTAACTGCTTAACAGTGGAACCTGGTTTGAGAGATAGTGAGTGACATAAAGGGATTCCTGCTCTTCCCATTGGGCTCCAAAAGCCTGCAGGAACAAGAGGATGTAAGTGACCCCTACCCAAGCTGGGACCCTCTACCTTCCACATGATGCCAAAGCCTGCTAAGTGCCATAGGGTGCAAGGTGGAGGCAAATAAGCTATTAATACTTTGCTATGAGAAGGAATCCTGGGAACTTCTTACCTTGCATCTTCCATCCCTTTCCTGGGAGGAATGGAGTGCAAGGGTATTTCCAGGCTGGTGTGGTGGCTCACGCCTGTAATCCTAGCACTCTGGGAAGCCGAGGCAGGCGGATTGCTGGAGGTCAGGAGTTCGAAACCAGCCTGAGCAAGAGCGAGACCCTATCTCTACTATAAATAGAAAGAAATTAATTGGCCAACTAATATATATATAGAAAAAATTAGCCGGGCATGTTGGCGCATGCCTGTAGTCCCAGCTACTTGGGAGGCTGAGGCAGGAGGATTGCTTGAGCCCAGGAGTTTAAGGTTGCTGTGAGTTAGGCTGATGCCACAGCACTCACTCTAGCCTGGGCAACAAAGTGAGACTCTGTCTCAAAAAAAAATAAAAAAGAGTATTTCCAAACTGTCTTATATCATAAAGAGCTGATAATACTCCCTTTTGACCTTCAAGGAATTGTGTGGGAAAGGCTGGGTCCTGTAGGGCTGCCATCTTGAATAATTCCAATGGGCACTTACATAGAATAAGATGTGAATGGTACCCCCAGGAGTTGTGCAGTGTAGCATCCCTAAAGGACCTACTAGCAGCTCTCCCAAATAAAGTTACCGAGGAGCTCAGCTAAGCAAAAGGTCTTTACAACCTTTGAGAATTATATGGACTAAGTATCAATTATCTGGGGACGTTGTTTCAAGACATCCTTGACGGCCGGGCGTGGTGGCTCACGCCTGTAATCCTAGCACTCTGGGAGGCCGAGGCAGGCGGATTGCTTGAGGTCAGGAGTTCGAAACCAGCCTGAGCAAGAGCAAGACCCCGTCTCTACTATAAATAGAAAGAAATTAATTGGCCAACTGATATTATATACAAAAAAATGAGCCGGGCATGGTGGCGAATGCCTGTAGTCCCAGCTTCTCGGGAGGCTGAGGCAGGAGGATTGCTTGAGCCCAGGAGTTTGAGGTTGCTGTAAGCTAGGCTGACGCCACGGCACTCATTCTAGCCTGGGCAACAAAGCGAGATTCAAAAAAAAAAAAGACATCCTTGACATGCCTAAAGCTGCTTTTTCAGGGACATTTGTCTCTACTGCAGGATCAAGTAGACTAGTGGACATACCATCGTTCCTCTATATTCTTCTTGCTAGAGGAAATCAACTCTTTCAACCACCTTGATAGCAACTAAGTTTCCATGGATCGTTTTGTAACTGTCATACAACTGTTAAATCCTGAGAAATTCAGAAAGTGTGTTCTTTTCCACATCTTTTGAATTATTGGAGAAGCCTTTATAATCTTTGGAGATAAACTACTTGCTGAGCAGATTTTGGGGGAAATGTGGCTGCCACTTTCTTCATTCTAGACAAAATGGCACTTCTTATACACATACTTAATCCCACTTATGCTGGAAAGTAAATTTTGCCTGCTACTGAGAGCCTCTTTCTATATATTCAGTGCATGGTTCAAATTCTACTTTGCTGCCCTAATACAGCACTATTGTTTGCTTAGAGTTTTTAATATCATCTTGATGTTCCTTCACTAATTTATTTCTGAAAACCAATAACGTTTCATTTTGTTAAGCTGCCTTCAGAATATATTTCTCAAGTTTATTATGGTATAAAATTTCAAAGTTATTGTTGCTCTCCCTTTCAAGTTGGTCAGAAGTATCATCAGTGGGTGCCATTCATATCTTACAGAATACAGTTCCTTTCAACAGATTTGCCTCTGGCTAGACTAAATTGGATCAAATATTTTATCTTATAATGGCCTTTTGAATCATCCAGATGTTGATGGGCTACTGCATCCAGATATCTAGTGACTGCTACCAGTTTCATGGTATTCTTACAAGATTTGATCAAACCCTGTATTATGATCAAAGACTATTGTAGCACAACTTGAGGAATATGAAATCTTGGTCCTCCTTGAATAAACATTCTTCTTGCTTATCACTAGAGTAAACATCTAGCAGCTTTCTTTTTTAGCATCTTAAGTTTTTCCCTTAAGAAAGCCTTATGTCAAAAATTCAGGATTTTCAGTGCATTTTTCCAATTTGCTTAGAAGAGTCTCATTGTGAAACTCAGAGTTTTCTCATATTCCTCAAAGAGAAAGTCTTTATTGTTCTAAAGACCAACTGAAATTAGATGCTACAGCCAAATAAAATCCAAGGGAAGCATTGGATATATCCATTAATTATGCTTTTAACTCCCTCTATATTAATTTCTTCAGTCTTAAGCAAGTCATGTATAACTTGACTATCAAAACTATAATTCTGCTCCAGTTCTAAGTTTTTCCTATCGTGACCACTTTCAATTATTTTCTATTCTTAGCTTCAAATTTAGCTTCATCATTTTCCCTTTCTCTGTAAAGTTCCTCAGATGTATTCTGAGTAGAGAACTAAAAGAATAAAGAGAAACTGTCATTAAATTGGTGATTCTAATTAAGATTTGTTGATGTAGGTTGTTAGCAAGCATTAATGCAGAGGCTGCTGTGCCATCCTTGATGTAGAAGAAAGGGAAGCAAAGGAGAAGAGCAGATGAAAAAGGAGCCCAGTGATTTCTCAGAGATTCTTAGCATGCAAGCCATGGTACCTACTGTACTAACAGTGTAGGCACTGTAGATATAGCAAAGAGGTAAAATCTTTAAGAGCCATGATAATGGCCACTCATGATCCTGATTTCCCTCCTTTTTATAACTTCCGATTGTTTGACATATGTTTTCCTCATTAGATTGTAAGTTCCATGAGGGCAGGCAAGTTCCAGGAATACCAGTATGTTATTTACTGTCACAGCCCATGTTATCTAATATGGTGTCTGTAGTATGATAGGTGCCCAATAAAAATTTGATGGATCAATGAACTAAATAAAAAAGACCTGGTCCAGTAACTATCCATCCTTAAATCCAAATGAAACATGCACATCTTTTAGTTTTTTCTTTCTTTTACTTCTTTCCTATCAGAGACTTCATGATTCATCAATTCATTTACATTGTTGAGAAAGTTAATTACCTCAGCCTCTTAACCTTCTGCCACATATATGTTTTTCTGATATGTAACACTGAATTTCACTATCTACTTGTCTTTTTTGCTCCTGGCTTAAGCTGTGAGTGCTATAGAAAAAAAATCTTATAACAGTACTGATAGTCAATATTAGAAGTATGATTTTGCTGAGCCCCCGATGCTGTTTAATTCTCCTTTTACTTGTTAATTCAACAAATATTCTTCCTTTCACAAATTATTTCTCAAAATAATGGTCTAACCCAATCTCTACTTCCTCCATATTGAAATTAACTCTTATATTCAGATTTTTGCCTTCTAATTCTACTAATAAAATACTCTAAAAAGCCACAAATAAACTCTTAATTCATTCCATTACTAAAAGCTGTTATTTGATTAGCACTGTATGGGGGAAGGGCATGCTTATAGCCTTGGTTTGGGCGAGGCAAAGGCATTACATGCACCTAAAATGTTTGTACCCACATAATACTCTGAAATAAAAAAAAAACAAAAACACCTGTTATTTGAAAGTTATTATCTCCAAGAAATTATACTTTGATAAAATCTCAAGTCTTGAGAGTTACATCTACACAACAGAGATGAATCCTCAGGTTTTTCTGTATCCTTATAATACTTATGATTCATACAGAAAAAGGTAACCAGGTCACTGAATTACTTTGGATGACAGTTAGATTATGATAACAATGAATATACTGCTAACATTTTTTAGTGCTAAGTTCAAGGCACCATATTTGTTACTTTACAAGCTAAATCATATTTAATTTTCAAAACTCTCTGTAATAAATATTATCTCCATTTTACAGATATGAAAACTGAAGCACAAAGAAATTATTTAATTATCCAGGGTTACATAACAAGGGGCAGAGTCAGAACTTGGACCCAGCTGTGTTTGGCCCTACGTTCTTAATCATTACACTATATTTCCAAAAGTATAATTTACTTATGACTGGCATCAGAATTTCTCAGTGAGAGTGTTAAAATAGAAATTCCTAGGCTGTCTCCAAGATCTACTAATCAAGAATGTCTCTAGATGGGAACTAGAAATATGCATTTCCAGGTGATTCTTATACATATCAAAATTAATTAAAAACATTTTTTCCTGAAGACTGTTCAAATAAAAAAATCTGGTTAATATAAATAAAATTGATACCTCTTTGTCAAAAAAAAAATCCCTATGTTTAGGCATATTTAAAAATTTTTTTGTATCCTGAGACTACTAAACTCATTTATCAATTCCGGGAGTCTCTTGGTTGATACAAAATCAATACACACAAATCAGAGGCATTCATATACACCAATAACAGTCAAGCCAAAATTCAAATAAAAAACGCAGTACCTTTTACAATAGCCTCAAAGAAAATTAAATATCTAGAAATATATTTAATGACAGAGGTGGGAGACATATACAGGGAGAACTATGAAACACTAAGAAAAGAAATTGTAGAAGATGTAAACAGATGGAAAAATCTACCTTGCTCATGGATTGGTAGAATAACATTGTTAAAATGTCCATACTACCTAAAGTGATCTACAGAATTGATGCAATCCTATCAAAGTACCATCATCATTCTTTACAGATCTAGAAAAAATAGTTCTATGCTTTGTATGGAACCAGAAAAGACCTCATATAGCCAAAGAAATTTTAAGCAAAAAGAACTGGGATGTATCAGTCTACCAGACTTCAAGCTTTATTACAAGGCTATAGTAGCTAAAATAGCATGGTAATGGCACAAGAACAGAAATACAGACCTTTGGAACAGGACTGAGAAACCAGAGATGAAACCATCTGCATATTGTCATCTAATCTTTGACAAAGCAGACAAAAATATACACTAGGGAAAAGAATCTCTTATCAATAAATGGTGCTGGGAAAACTGGATAACTACATGCAGAAGATTGAAACTGGATCCCCACCTCTCACCTCTTACAAAAATCAATTCATGGTGGATAACAGACTTAAATCTAAGGCATGAAACCTTAAGAATCCTAGAAGATAATGTAGGGAAGACCCTTTCAGACATTGGCCTAGGCAAAGAATTTATGAAGAAAACCCCCAAAGCAATCACAGCAGCAACAAAAATAAATAAATGGGATCTGATCAAATTAAAAAGCTTTTGCACAGTCAAGGAAACTAACATTAGAGTGAATAGACCGCCTACAGAATGGGAGAAAATATTTGCTCTCTACACATCCGATAAAGGGCTGATAACAAGAATCTGTCAAGAACTCAAAAAAATCAATAAGAAAAAATTAAACAACCCCATCAGTAAATGGGCAAAGGACATGAACAGAAACTTTCAAAAGAAGACAGAATAATGGCCAGCAAACATATTAAAAGTGCTCAACATCTCTAATCATTAGGGGCACTCTAGCCTAGGCAGCAGAGTGAGACTCTATCTTAATAAAAAAAAGCTGTCCTATATTTCCCTCTAAAAGTTTTAATCTTTTACCTTTCACATTTAGGCCTACAATCCATGTGGGACTGATTTTTGTGTGTGGTATGAGGTAAGGGTCCAAATACAATTTCCCCCATAATGATAGGCAAGTGATCGTGGTATTTTTTATGGAAGGTAGCAGTTATTTAGGCAGAAATGCCTCCATTGTGCAGAAAGAAATAATACAGCTAACCCAACTAAGTGAAAATATTCTTTAAAACATCTTACTCCCATAATTCTAAATCTTAGATTCCTGAATATCCTTAAAGAACTTTTTTAATCTGAAAAGACCGACTTTCAGAAGAGGGTGTCCTGAGAAAATTACTGACATCAGATGTTCTATTAATAAAGTTCTCATAATAAAATGGCATTCCTATTATACATGTTTCTCCTGAGACTGATTAGCACTGCTGAATTCTTTATGCTTCTACACCTTATATATGAGTTTCTAAATTTCTATAGTGTAGAACCAAACACCAATCTACAGTGACTCCACCAGGTACTGAAGACCCATGAGACATCCTAGAAGTAGGTGTCTCCTTTCTGATATCTCTAATTGGTTGCTGACATATAGGCCTTCTGGTTTCTCTAGATCTCTTACTCTGCTGGCGTCACTGTGTTCCTAGCTCCATCTTGGACCACCTATTTGTTAGACATCATGTTCCCAGACTACGTATTACTTCTCTATCCATGGAAATCTGAAATGAGTATTTTTCTCAATTCTACCCTAAGCTGGTCTATTATGCATACATAGGCTGGGAGAACTGGCCTCAATGAGTATTAAAATTAAGCATCATATATCACCATTACATGAGTACCAAAAAACACATTATAGCTAAGGTAATTTATTTCTTTAAGAAAGAATATTTCAGTTCAGGAATAAACTATTAATTTCTACAAAGGATTTCTCTTAAGTCATCATATTAACAAATATGAACCTCTTTCTGTAAGACACATGTATATAGTTTCAAAAACAAACTTACTCATCACTGTCTTCCATTGAAGATTCCTTTCTTTCAGTTAAACTGAGAGGATTACATTTTTTTCTCTTTCCTATATGTGTGTATAATAAAGAAGAGGACAAAAAGAGAGAAATCATTAAATTTGAATAGAATTCAGATTGCTAATTATATATATATATATATATATATATATTTTGTGTGTGTCTGGGGGAGGAGAGTCAGGGGTCTCCCTATGCTTGCTATGCTATGAAGTGCCCTGGCTACTCACAGGCCAGTCCCACTACTGATCAACTCTGTTTCTGACATGGGCCAGTTCACTTTTCCCTTAGGCAACCTGGATGGAGATCCCAGCTCCTGGGAAGTCACCATATTGATGTGGAACTTAGTGCAGACACATAACTGACACAGTGCCTTATAGCATACAACTCCTGGGCTCAAGTGATCCTCCCGCCTCAGCCTCCTGAGTAGCTGGGTCTACAGGCACATGCCACCACACCCAAGCAGATTGCCAAATTTTAAAATAGAAAATAAAAGGGTGGACAAATGAAAGAATGGTAGGAAAAGAAAAAGTATCCTATTATGTTTTTCTTATTTCCCATTCTCCTATTTTTTTATTTATTAAGATATTATATAGAAGAAATAGGCTGGGTGCAGTGGCCCACGCCTGTAATCCTAGCACTCTGGGAGGCTGAGGCGGGTAGATTGCTCAAGGTCAGGAGTTCGAAACCAGCCTGAGCAAGAGCGAGACCCCGTCTCTACTATAAATAGAAAGAAATTAATTGGCCAACTAATACATATAGAAAAAATTAGCCGGGCATGGTGGCGCATGCCTGTAGTCCCAGCTACTCGGGAGGCTGAGGCAGGAGGATTGCCTGAGCCCAGGAGTTTGAGGTTGCTGTGAACTAGGCTGACGCCAGGGTACTCACTCTATAGCCTGGGCAACAAAGCGAGACTCTATCTCAAACAAACAAACAAACAAAAAAGATATTATATAGAAGAAATAATCTTTTGAGTGAAATTTCTACTGGGGCTTGGTATATTAAAAAGAAAACTAGAGAAATCCAATTTGATAATATAACTAGGTTAAAATCCACTAGTAAACTTTACTAAATAAAGGATACTTTCATTAAATATTTTAATCAAAGATATCATATTAAGGCTTCCAGTTTGCATTATTTCACCCCTATTTTCTTCAAGTTAACCATAGGGATTGATGATACTAATACCTAGAAAACATTAATGTTCTTAGTGATATCACAGTCAAATAAATTTAATTTTAGGGATAAAAATACCTGGCTCTTTATTTTTTAAATTGACAAATGAAAATTATACATATTTGTAGTGTACAATATGTGTTAATATATGTATACATAGTAAAATGGTCAAATCAAGCTGATTAACATATTCATTACCTCACATACTTACCGTTTTCTTTTTTTGTGGTGAGAACACTTAAAATTTACTCGCTTAGCAATTTTCAAGTATATAACACATTGTTATTTACTATAGTCACCACATTATACAACAGATCTCTTGACCTTATTCCTCCTACCTGAAATTTTTTATCCTTTGACCATCATTTTGTTTATTTATTTTATATCTTACTTAACCCTATACACCCATTATACTTTTATAATGTAATCAATATAAAATTAATAATGATTTAAAGTCACTCAACCAGGCAGGTAGAAAAAAGGATAAAAAATTATTAATGAGATAATTTATACTTTTTTTCACACTAAATTTTTGAAATCTGGTGTAGACTTTATACTTACAGTGTATCTCAATTCAGACTAGCCACATTCCAAATGTTCAATATCCACATGAACTGAATAATATAGCTCTAAGTAATACTGCAGAAGATCCAATACTTCCAGATGAAACAAAATATACATATAATATAAAGGCAATTTCTTTAATTTTTCAAGTAGAATTAATATATTAAGAAATATATTATTGGCCAGGCGAAGTGGCTTACACCTGTAATCCTGGCACTCTGGGAGGCCGAGGCAGGCGGATTGCTCGAGGTCAGGAGTTCGAAACCAGCCTGAGTAAGAGCGAGATCCCGTCTCTATTATAAATAGAAAGAAATTAAGTGGCCAACTAATACATATAGAAAAAATTAGCTGGGCATGGTGGCGCATGCCTATAGTCCCAGCTACTCGGGAGGCTGAGGCAGGAGGATTGCTTGAGCCCAGGAGTTTGAGGTTGCTGTGAGCTAGGCTGACGCCAGGGTACTTCACTCTCTAGCCTGGGCAACAAAGCGAGACTCTGTCTCAAAAAAAAAAAAGAAATATATTATTGCCTAGAACAGATTTTTTAATACTAGTTTACCGTTTTTCCCTTTGTTTAATTTATATTCCATTACTTGTTCCTATTACTTGGGAAAAAGCTTATTTAAATTATAATTTCTAATCTCTAGTATTTACAATTTCATCAAATAAATTGGTTTAGAAATTGATTAACAATAATTTTCTTCAGTGTTACTTTGGACCTTATGACTTCTTTCCTCCCAACCCCAACCTATCATAATTAAATAGTTATGTTAAAATATTGTCTAATGGCAAAAAGAGAAAAACTTATGTTTTAGACATTTTGCTAAAGCACTATTTCTCTTATTTATTAATGTTTCATTAATTGACAAGTCTGTATCCCTAAATTCCAAAAAGAAAAATATGGTTAAAAGTTAGTTTAATAAAGGATGTAAGGGAAAAAGGGTAATAATATTTTACTTGTGACTTTAGAGAACTTTGGAGAAATAAAACCATTAAAATGTCTCTTAAGAAAAAAAAATCAAATAAGTCACAAATGAAACCCAAGTTATACATTAAACCTTCATTTCAGAAAATCTTTGCCTAAAGGGCAATACTAATGTCCTGAATTTTGTACTATGGTGTCTGTATTCAATAAAGCTCTAAAATTAAATATTAAAATTACATCATTCCTCTAACTTGTAATTTATTTTCACATTTCAGTACCAACAGTTAGTAATTTTAGGTTAGAAATAGTAAACATTGTTTTATTTAAATTTTTACCAGGTGTTCAATGCCTTTCTAAACATTTTATTATTGTAAAAATTAGTCAAATATCTCACTCTGTAAAATGTAGATCAGGCCAGGAAGTATAATTGACAGAATATTTAATTCACATGATTTTGCTGACTATAAAGGAATTAATCACAATTTGAGAGGGGCTTAAAACAATAATAGACCGACCACACAGATAAGAGGAGTTAAGTGTTTTAAGGTCCTTGTGTTTTCAGGCAGATGATGGGATATCTATCAGTTGACTTTTCAATTGTGTTTTTTTTGTTTTCTTGCCTGTAAATGTGAAATATACTAATCTACTCCAGAATGTGATATTTAATTAATTAATACACAAAAATCACTTAGAACAAGCCTGGCATATAGTATATGTTGTACATATTTTAAACATTTTTGTTAATATCATTATTATTTATACTTTAAGAAAAGACATAAGACATCAACTAAAGGGATAGAAAAAGATAACAAAGCAAATATTAGCTTTTTATAAAAGCTAGTAGTTGATTTGGAGATAAATATTGAATAAGGAAAAGGTAATTTAAAGCAAAAAACCTTCATTGAAGTATTTAATAATAACACCCTTTTCATAAGAGAAAAAGAAGAATTCGCCACCACAAAAATAAATAAAAGAATCCTGAGCTATATGTGCGTCTAAAACAAAAATGATAAAATGTGACTGGATAACAAGAAGAAACTGACAAGTCCCAATCATAGTAGGAGATTTTAAACTACTCATTCAAAAACTGATGAAGCAGGTAAATTCAGGAAAGATATAGACAATTTAAACACAATTAGCGAGCTTGATCTAATGAGCAATAGTCAAACAGGTATAATACCCAAATATTAATAAAGCACACATATAACTTTCACAAAAATATAACCAATTAGTCACAGAGGAAATCTCACTGTACTAAAAATTGCTATCATACAGATTACATTCTTTGAGCAAAATTTAATACAATTAGTAATTAATAATAAAAAGGCAGTCTTCAAAAATTTTAGCCCCATGTGTTTCGAAACCAAGAAATTTGTGAATAATTCATTGATCAGAAAATTTATAATGGAAATATAAAATATTTAGAATTGAATGATAGTAAAAACATGTCAGCTCTTAGAGGAAAATTTATACCTAAATTATACTAAAGCATTTCTTAGTGGAAATTTATACTGTTGTCCCTTGGTATCTGTGGGGGATTAGATCAGGACACTACTCAGATTCCAAATCCACGGATGCTCGAGTCCCTTATATAAAGTGTGTATTACTTGCATATAACCTGCACATATCCTCCCATATTCTTATATCATCTCTTGATTGTTATAATACTTAATACAATGTAAATGCTGTATATATATCGTTGTTATACTATATGTTTAGAGAATAATGACAAGGAAAACCTATGCATGTTCAGTACAGATACAACCATCCTTTCTTTTGGGGGATCATATTTCAATCCATGGTTGGTTGAATCTATGGATTTGGAAACCACAATGCAGAGGACCAGGTATACTTACAAATGCATATATAATCATGTGTCACTTAACAATGGTACATTCTGAGAAATGTGTCGTTAGGCAATTTCATTGTGCAAACATCATAGAGTGTGCTTACAAATAAACGTGAATGGTATAGCACTACTACACACCTAAGCTATGTGGTATAGCCTGTTACATCTAGGCACAAACCTGTGCAAGCATGTTATTGTACTGAAAACTGTAACATAATAGTATTGTTATCTAAAATGAAGGTACAGTAATGGTATTATAATCTTATGGACCACTGTAATATATGTGGTCTGTTGACCAAAACATCATTATACAAAGCATGACTAATAAAGGAAAAATTATGAAAACAATGAATGAGCATTCCCTCAGAAAGACTGAAAAGGAAAAAGAATGAACCCCAAAAAGAGAAGAATAATAAAGATATGAACAGAAATTATTAAATAGAAAACAGGGCAATAATGAAGAAAGCAACCAAATCAAACGCTGGTTTTTTGAAAATCTAATAGAATGGTGGCCTCTAGCACCACTGATTTTTTTTTTTTAA